CTTTCACAGACCGAGGAACCACCCACCTCAACCCCACCATGGTTGGGGCTGCGGTAAGGAAATTTATGATTAAGGCATCTCTAGATGGCCGGAAATTACACTCTCGCACTTCAATTTGAATATATTTTTCCTTTTTTTTTCCTTTAAAAAATTAAGGGGGGTGCCTTGAATCCACCTCTGCTCAAAACATTCTTTATTCAGAATAGTCATAATCACGAATAATGGACATGAAAAAGCAGATCACATCCTAAAAACAAACAGCAGTCACTAAGACATACATCAGGAGCCGACTCGATGGAGTTTAATGTCATACCCAGGGAAGGGCACAGATCTGTTTTGAAAGGTGGGGGGGGGGGCATTTTGTAAGTCGACACCCACCCCAGCCCTACAATGGTTGGAGCTGAGGTGAGAAAATTTGAGGAAATAGTACCTCTAGATGGCCAGAAATGACACTTTTAGTAAAATTCATCATCATCACATCACCATTAGCCAAAATAAAGCACCAAAAGAAATTCTCATGATCTTTTATCAGGGATTTTTGACACTATTGAGATCTTATTAATGTGTGTGTATACACCATAGAAAACAAAGCTTAAAAACATTGTCTTTGAGTATGTACTTTACATAGGCCTACTTTAAAAACGTGATTTCACAACCACCTCAGCCCCTCCATGGCTGGGGCTGAGGTGAGAAAATTTGAGCAAATTGTACCTCTCGAGATGGCCGGAAATGACACTTTTATATAATAAAATTCATCATCATCACATTACCATTATAGTCAAAATGAAACGCCAACAAATTTCTCATGATCTTTTATCAGGAATCTACTTAATATCCAGGACAACTTAGGCCTAATTATAGCTTACTAAGCTTTAACTATATATACTATAGTATGATCAACAAATCATAACTTTTTTTTGGCATTTAGCACAATTTTCATCACTTTTTATTTCTATTAATATTATTATCAATTATTACTATGTCATTATAATCATTGTTATTATTATTATTACTATTAGTAGTAGTATTATTAAACAAACATGATCTTTTATCAGGGATTTTTGACAACCATAGAGATCTTATTCTTATTAATGTGTGTGTGATATACCATTGAAAAAAAGCTTAAAAACATTGTCTTTGAGTATGTACTTTACATAGGGGTACTTCAAAAACGTGATTTCACAACCACCTCAGCCCCACCATGGCTGGGGCTGAGGTGAGAAAATTTGAGGAAATAGTACCTCTGGAAATGGCCGGAAATGACACTTTTATATATAGTAAAATTCATCATCATCACATTACCATTATAGTCAAAATGAAACGCCAACGAATTTCTCATGATCTTTTATCAGGGATCTACTTAATATCCAGGACTACTTAGGCCTAATTATAGCTTACTAAGCTTTAACTATATATACTATATTATGATCAACAAATCACAACTTTTTCCGCATTTAGCACAATTTTCTTCACTTTTTATTGTTATTAATATTAATATCAATTATTACTCTCATCATCATCATCATCATCATCATCATCATCATCATCATCATCATCATCATCATCATCATCATCATCATCATCATCATCATCATCATCATCATCATCATCATCATCATTATTAGTAGTAGTAGTAGTAGTAGTAGTAGTAGTAGTAGTAGTAGTAGTAGTAGTAGTAGTAGTAGTAGTAGTAGTATTAAACAAACATTTAAAGAAACTTGCAAAAGGATAAAAACGAAATTGAACCACAGTATCGCATTTCTATCTTAAAAGACCTGGCCTGAGATTTATGGATTTAAGATTTT